AAAGATCTGTACATATAGATATTTAAGCTTATATATATATATATATATACGTATGTATATACATCTACATTTGCAGCAATATGCGTATACACATACATACCATTATCTATCTAATCAGATAATTTTACCCTAATCTACATAAGTAACATACCTGTAAACGAGTGCCTCGCCTCCTCGAGAACAGAAGCTTCATTCGCTTATTATCAAGCGGTACACATATATATATAGGTATATAGGTATAGGTATATATATAGGTATATATATAGCTATATAGGTATATAGGTATATATATAGAGAGGTATATATATATATAGGTATATATAGAGGTATATATATAGGTATACCGGTATATATATAGAATTACAATTATAAATATATATATATATATACATCCATACACAGATACGTTGAACATTAACGCAGCTGCTTGCAAATTTATATACGTAAATAGGCGTATGTGTGTAAATACCCACATTTGCATTTCAGAATCACGCGTACAATCACCCCAGTTTATACGCGGTTAACATATTTATCTCGCAATATGAACATGTTCCACATGACCCTTACTTGCGTAACACTTAGCAACATACTCAAACTAACAACAAACCGTTCGCACAGTTACGTATTCCCTTTCACCGATAACAATAATTAATCCCTATCACCTCATGATCATTTACGAGTACCCGTTTACAGACTAGGCATTACGGTAACATAATATAGCCGTTACCCTACATTCCGTATTAACTTTGGTTATTTCATTCCGTATTTCCTCAACTATGCACATAGAGATGCCCTCGTCATCCCCGTTACTCCTTTCGCACTTCTTACCATTTACCAATTCACATTGACTTACAGGTTGCCTTCAAGACATCCAAAGTAAGTTTCAAACCTATTAATTACGTATTTCCCATCATTAGGAATAAACTTCGTACATGTCTTGCTTTAGATTCTCGCATTTCATATCTTCCGTGAGCATTGTTAGTGCGACTAAAATTCCGTGCAGCTTTCTCAACCTTATATCTACACCATTGTTAAAAGTGATTCCTGTTTACAGTACACGGTTAGTTGAGGTTTCAATAAATGCAACATTTTAATGCGTTACATTATCAGAAATACCGGCATATCTGTTGACCGCATTTTCTGCACATTCCCATCTGTTGATTTTCCGCCACCATCTCGGCCTTCCTTATTTCAGTAACTTTACCTCAGTAAAATGTTTACACATCATATCCTATGTAGTACTACTAAACGATTTATATTAATTTATGCTACCTATCCATAGCATTATGAGGGCAAAGCATTCACGCCGCAAAATGGGTGTACCAATTGGCACCACAGAAATTCAAATTTAACCGCGTTAGTGCAATCAGAGGTTCCCGACGGAGCGTCGTTCGCAGTCGAGTCGCGCGCCAAAGGCGGAGATCGTGTTCGTGTTTCCAACAAACGGGAACAACGTTCCAACATGCAAACCGCCTAGTTCCCTAATACATTAGAAAGCTATAATTTGAATATAGTTTAGAATAGTTTACACAGTCATACGGGGGAATCGCCAGGTCACTACACAGCCCCCCTCCTAGAAGTGAAACCGTGGGTGACCCTTCGATCTACATGAGGACTGTCCTTCACGGGCCAGCATTCTGCGAGACCAGGTAGTGTAAGCTGATGCAGCTGCTGGGGGGGAACCAGGTCACTACAGATCTGCATCCGTCATGAACACGGCACTAGAGAGTTTCGAAGTCGTCATCGCTGCCAGAGATAGCTTCAATCAGATGAGCCTCGAAGTCCGTCTTCCAACAGAGTATCACACCGCCCCCAGGTCTACCTCCATGGCGGTCTACCCGGCAAAGGTGGTATCCAGGGATCTGCACTTCCGAGTCCAGGATATCCGGGGACAACCAGGTTTCGGTGAAAACTATAAGATCCGGCAGATTCATTGAGGCAAGAAGCTGGACTTCGTCTAGTTTGTTTCTGAGACTGCGCACATTGGAAGAAATTACGCGCAGCCCGTTCTTCAACTCTAACGCCCTGGCATGACAAGGAGTGGTCTCTAGCGAGTTCTTGACGTTTTGCGAAGTACGCGAAAATCCACGATACGTAGATCCGTCTCACTGTTATCACGACGAGACCTGAGTTCATCAACCGCTTTCTTCATTTTTACTCGATCCTCCGGAGAGAGGTCTCGTAGTACGAATGGTTCTCCTTTAAGACGCGGTGTTCGTCGGAGAATGCGATGGACTTCATCATCGTTTTGACACACAATCTTCAAGGGTCGGACCTTAGAGGAGTCCTCCTGTTTCTTGCCAAGGCGGAAAGCGGAGACAATGTTGATTCTTGGCTCACCTTTGTCGAGCAGTAAGGTGATCATCCGTTTTAGAAACTCTTGAGCATCCATAATCCTTTCAGCTGGAGTTGTTTTGGACGACTCAGTAGCATTTATGATGAGTAGGCAACGGCCATGAGAGGCTGATTTGTTGTTATCGGGGAGTTGCGGCTTGTGGGGAGGTGGACGTAGTTTTTAAAGCTGACCGACGCTATCCAGAACTAGCTTCAACTGCGATTGTGAAGAAAATGGTTTGCGTTTCACCTTGACATCTGTCTTGCCCTTACTTTCAATCACTCGTACTGGCAAGGGCAGTGGTGCACATTCCTGCGCTACGGATGCATAATTCTTGGTATTTGGGGCTTTACCGTGATCAACAGCCGTCGGCTTACCAGTGGGGGTAACCGGATCAGAAGCTAGCGACGAGAAGCATGGGGATGCCAAGAAGGCAGTATCGCTGACTGCCTCGGTTTGAGCAGAAGAAAAACGCGGATTCAGTGCAGGCAGTCCATCAAGCGGTGCAGTGTCGGTACCCGCCTTCTTTGTTGGAGCCCGACACGCCAGGATATACTTTGCGTTGTGATGCAGCGGAGGATCTTTCTGCTTTTGCACAGTATGCAGACATGAGGGACTTGGACTGATTGGAGGTAGGCGATTCGAAATGCGACTGACACTCAATCAGCCCAAAAAGGAATTTGAAGGCGAAAGTGGGTGGTAAAGTCCTTAACCGTCAACTATAAACCTGAATCCATGGTTAAGGACTTTGGCGACCAGTTTAAAGGCGAAATTTATCCTTCCACGGAAGCTGCATTAAGTAGACAGTGGAGGACTTTGCACCGTATCCAATCAGAAACCTAGGTTAAACAGTGGGTGACAGACACACCAGCGGAGCATGAATGGTCATTGACGGTTGACTGTGGGCGGCGTAGACCAATGGCCGTGCACGCACCACGACGCTACGCACGCACCTAGGCGGTAACCCGGTACGCCGCACCCAGGCGGTACCCCTGAACGACGCACCTAGCCACTACTCCTGTACGCCCCACATCTTGGCTACCCACCCACGCTCGCACAGCGCTGGGAGGAGGATCACAAATCCCTACCTGCGCTAACCGTTAATAATAATATGTAACGCATGTATCACTACCGCTTACTAATGCAATGTAAACGTGCGAGTCAGCTAACTGCCCATATGACATTTTTTCGCATGCAGCGTAACAAACTGAATGACAGGGGAAAGCGTGGTACCACGTGGTACCACCATGATACATCATGGTGCACTACCTGCTGCTACTGAATGGAAGAAACCATGTTTAACACGGCGCACAGGGTCCAGTCCCACTAATCATAGTGATGCCTTAGTATTTACGTCCCAATAAGCACAAAGCGGAATTGGAATCCGGATTTTCCACAGTAAGAAGTCCATTTACCGACGCATAGTAGTCGATACATTAAATGGAAGCACATCAATATTGACAACAGAGGTCTATGTTCCGTTTGAAACGGTTACGCTTCCTCTAGTCTGTCTTCTGCGCAGTCCAATTCCACCACTTGGAAAATCTTAGTTAAGAAATGTTAATAAGTAATCCACCATTTCATACCTGCTGGCTGCTTGCACAGCCTTTGGCAGGGTCGCGCCATGCGTTGCCACGAATCCTTTTCAAGTATTTCCTGACATATAGTGTTATGTCATCGGGTGACATTACTACCGGAAAATCGTTTTAATAGAGCAGCTATGACAGGAAGGAAAGGACAAGGATGTTACTTACCTTGCATTTCGGTGAATAGCTTGGTTTTCCGGAATCTCTGTTTGTTACGGGAACCGGAGCAATTAATCTACTCCATCAATGACCGCATTAGAAGACGCTGAATCATGAGGTGCACAGTCTCCGACAACGTCTCTCCATGCACACCTTCCAGATAAGTGTGCTGCATGCAGATGTGAGGTATCAAAGCATCCTACCAATTGTTGCCTGCGTCCTGCATTAGTATATCGAACGACTGTAGTTCCTCCACCGATGTAATTGACAAAGGAAGCTGAGTTGCCTGCTGCCCTGGTTGACCCGCAATGGTCGCAGCCATCGATCTCATGCAACTCTTCACATACTCCAGTGTCTCCATAATTTTCTGAACATTACCTGCAAATGTATACCCTGTTTTAGAAATGTAGGAAGTTACCATCTATGGACTCCAGTTTATTCTTCAGTTGGACTATATCGCCATGCAGGAAAGTGGTAAAACCTCACGTGCATGCTTACGGTGAATGCCATTCCAATCGCTTGTAGGAACCGTAATGAAGCAGGAGTCAGAGGTGGACTCTATGACTAGAACACTCAAGCTACAAAGTTTAAGCATCAACCCGAATCCGTTTTCGAAATTTGTGCGTTCGAATTTTCACCACAGTGAGATGCAGTATTGAACGCTGAAGTTTCATATTAAGGAAAGGTTACCCCTGTATAAACTTGTTTGTATCCACCCTTGTTGTATTGCTGGGAAGATGACTTACGTGAGTCTTTACCCATTGAGCGAGCAAACGCAGTTAAAGAAAAGATAGGTGGAGCGTCAAAGAAACGACTGTGGGGACCATGCGCTTCCTGGAGGGCCCAAATTCATCGTCGTCCGAAATCGAACGACGTGGCATACGGCTGTGATGAAATGTTTTATAGATGTGGCAACTCACATGAGTCTAAGTGGGATGTGCCCATGTCTACTGTTGAATCTGTGTCTCCGGGCAAGTTCGAAAGCTCGACGGAGTTGGCTATTGCACCAGCCCGATCCAAATTCACTAACGACTTATGACAGCAAGGAACGTACTAGTACACCGAAGTATAGTCACAACTTGTAGGCGTTGGGATCTCATTTTCCCTGCGCTCCATAGGACAATCCCTTTGATCAATTTGTTTGAGGCGTCTTTTCGCGCGCAAATACCGATCCCGCAAGGTGCGGTCGCTAGGCAGCATGAAAGACCATTGTCGGTTTGTACACCGAGGTCCATTAAAAATGCTGAACATCAAACGTTACGTTCAAGGTGGCGACGTACATATAAAAAGAGCTTGATGAGTAAAAATACCGAGATCTGCAATGTCGCTACCGATATTAGTAAGCGAATGCGCCCTGCAAAAAAGATAAGGTCACAAAGAAGCTATCTACGTAGAGCACAAGTAATTGCGCAAGTGCAGATATCAATGCGTAACCTGTAGGTTAAGGCGATAGCAGCTAGGGCAAACCAACGCACAAGCTTGGGAAATAAAACCAATCTAAACAAAGTATGTTTGCAATATTATAATAAAAACACTTATGGTGTGTAGTGTACCGGAAAACAAGCACTTTCAGTATTTTGTAACATTGGATTTACGGTTGTTTTAACCTTCGAAACGTCTACTTGTTTTACTGACTGCACATCCGTTGACACAAACCGTTTTGGTGAGTATCTCGCTGCACGTTGCCCGCTCTTTCTGATTCGCTTCCTATTCTTGTAGCCTGCACAATATACGTTGGGTTCAATCATCGACTTCTATACTGTCGCATTTGACACGTCTTATGTATCATTGCTTACCGACTATTATCCCAGGCTCCGCCCAACAATTGGTGATACCCTATCCGGAACACGCCGCCCGCCATTTCGCATTTTCATTCTAGTGGGCTCGTTCCAGTGATTTTATGATTCATTACTTGTGATCATATTGTTTTCTCATCTACCACATTTTTATCTGCTTTTTGCAATGGATTATCTAGAGAATAAGCCGTCTCCATGCGCGGTTAACGCCGTTCAGCCTGTCATGGTCAATTCTGTTGCCTTAGCCGCTCCCCCATTTTGGGAGAATGATCCTTTATTATGGTTTTTGCACCTAGAATCCGTATTTTATATTCATAAGATTTCTTCTGATTTTGCCATGTATAATCAGCTAATATCTTGCCTTCCTCAGGGTATATCCTCACAGGTGAGAGACATCATACTTTGCCCCCCTCTAGTAATGAAATACGAGGCTATTAAACAGGCTATTATTCAGCGAATCACGCCTTCTGACAAGGTCCGTCTGCAGCAACTATTTAGTGATCTGCAGCTAGGAGATAGGATGCCCTCAGCCTTGTTGCGCGAAATGCAACAGCTCATCGGCACGTCCAACATGGACGTAGGGATTCTCCGCGAGCTGTGGATGCAACGCCTTCCTGAAAGCACACAGGCTATCCTTGCAGTAGCAAGTGACTTGTCCATCACAGCAATTGCATATCTAGCAGACCGCGTCATCGAACGGCACCAGCCAGCAACTGAAACCAAAGCACTTAAGCAGCTCTGCGCTGGCGCAACCACAACGACAGGCGCGACTAGTCCGCCATCGGCAATAGACGCATTATCACTGCAGATAGCGTCGATTCAGCGCCAGATCGAGGAACTCACTTTAAACCGTAAGCACCGCAACCGCTCTGGATCATCGCCCGTCGCACAAAACCTGGTGCCACAGGTTACTGCTTTTACCACTCGTGTTTCGGCAATAAATCCCTTAAGTGCGTACAGTCGTGTAGCTACTCCGCTATGGATGATCCGCCACGCCGGGCTGTAATGGCCACGAACGTCGGCAAAGCCCAAAGTCGTTTCATCTACATTAGAGATTATGACTCCGATACCCAGTTCTTAGTTGATACCGGGGCGGAAGTCAGCGTCATTCCCCCTATGCCAGGTGAGCCTACCGCTTCTCTGTCGACAAGCCTCAGTGCCGCCAATGGCATGCCAATAGCCACCTATGGTCATCGATTACTTACCCTGGACCTAGGTCTTCGGCGCACTTTCCGCTGGGTATTCACTGTAGCTGCAGTCCCCTTTGTCATCATCGGCATTGACTTTCTCAGGCCTTTCGACCTCTTGGTCGGTGCGAAACGCCAGATGATAGTCGACGCTGCAACAAAACGCAGTGTACGTGGCATCACCCCCGATGTCACACCTATATCCCCGGTCTATGCATTCCCCAGACCTCGCCAGACTACGCTAATCTCTTTTCTCAGTATCCCAAGCTCGTGCAGCCAATGAACGCAGCTTTGCCCGTGGCAGCTCAAGTCAGTGACGTTTCTGAAAATCACACTGCTATCTGTGTAAGAATCGCCTCGACGAGGTGTATTTACACCACATGCCCTGCCATCCACGCCACATGGTTGTCTGACAGGAATCGGTGGGACCGAAAGCGACGGTACCACTTGTCTCACTGAGGGAATTGCAACACCAGGTGGTGTTTCCAACTCAGGCGCTTGTTTCTTGAGCATTTTATCACCTTCCGGTTTGGGAGCGGAGGGTTTGCGCGTTTTCCTTGCTCTCTTACGCCTATTCTTCAATGGCACAGAAGCCCGTGACTCGCCTTCCATTTGGGGCGGGTCAACTATGCCGTCCGAGGCATCTGTATCAGTTATATCCACGTGAACTGGAGCGTCCGGCAGGATGAACGCCTCGTCAACGGTTGGACTGTCATCAGGAGTACGGCCCGTTACAGAGTCCACATTCGCAATATTCAGGGATTTCATAATCAAATCCCCTTTAGAGTTGAGCAAAGCAAGAGAGGCAAGTTTGGCTAATGCCTTCTCAACAACTGTGAATCTGGATGCTAGTGCTTTGAGTTCAGCACAGGTGAAAGCCGGGAGCTTCGCTTTCGGAGCGCAACAATCAGCACACCTAAACAGACGATTTTCTCTGGATGATAGCATATTGTACTGATTCGCTCGGAGGCCGATACAACTTTTGTGATATCAACGAGAGCAAACATCAGACTGCATACAACCAAATGAATCTGTAACTGGCCTTGAACAGGCAGAATTGCTGCAAGTTGCACTTGACCCATCAAACGAGGACGCAAGGGGTTCATCCGCCTCGGTTTTTCGTGAGACGGCCATGTTAGAGTGGAAAAATGAACATAATTTAAAAACACGTACACAACCGTAAAACGACCACGATAAAATGGCAAAAGAGGGTGTAAAACAAGAATAAAAAGGGAACAACCGCAAAATTATAAGTAAGAGTCAGGAAGACGCTTTGACCAGTACCACTATTGTCAAGTTTAAGTTCAAGTTCAAGCGGGACTGGAACGATAGGATGATCCCGTGAGTGTTCCTTCTTCGGCGGGTCATTGAACCAGGAGTTGGCGAACTTTGGAATACTGATGGACCTAAAACAAAGACCGCATCACACCCTGTCCAACCAATTAATGCCCACGTATCCTGCTCTAGCAGTCCCTGCTGGGTCGGTTACGTGAAGGA